TCATATTTATATATAATATTATTATCTACATATATAAATCTATACAAATTTTTAAAAAATTAGGAAATTTATTAAATAAATATTTAAGAATACAGTTAACTCCTCTATTTATGTAAAAATTAATTTTCCTTTATTGATTTGAGGATGAATAAAAAGATATACAATGTCTACTTTATGTAATACAATTGAATCCTTACATAAAGATTAATACTGGAATTTATCAATTCAATTCTATCAAACAAATGTGACAAACTCGATATAGCAACGCTATCGCAATCAATACTTATACAGCGATTTACTATCTATTAATATCTCAGTGCAAGGTCAGTCTGAGTAGAAATAGAAATAACTATACTTATATCTCTTATTAAGACGTGCATTTGAAGAGTAGCGCGACGTTACTTTGTAATTCGTACTTTAAAAATTGCAATCCCAGCGAACAGGCAATAATTTCCATGATTATATTGTGCGTTTTATTTTAATAATTTCTTTTGCCAGTAAAAGACCAATCGCAAATAGAACACAAAATAATAATAAAATAATAAAATAATAAAATAAAGATGATATCAAGTAAAAATCATTTTAGGAAAAGTCATCGTGATATCATTTGATTTGATGATGATTTTATGATAAATCTTTAACATGATAATGATTTTTAAATGATTTAAAAAAGATCTTGATTTAAAACTTTTAAAAAATCAACTTTTTTTTTCATATTCTTATAATAAAACATCTAAGAAATATGTTCCTAAGATATTTCAAAATTTGAAAATTTGACGAAGCGATTTAGTAAATAGCCGTTTGACCATTCGATGCGTTTAGAAAGTTTTTATTCGCACAACACGCGAATTGGTTTATGTTAGAAAAAGCATCAAAAGAAAACAGAATCTTCTAGATATATATATATAATAAAGAAGTTTTATGGAAAGGCAGATTATAACCAGAAATTAACTGTAAGTATATATACCAATAAAATTGAACATTAATACTTATTAGTACTCAAAATTTCAAAACATTTTTCTCGAAATCGTATTTTTCAAGTTCGTTGATGTTATAAAAATTAATAAACGGATCGATTTTATTTTGTGAATAATTCGAAATAATTGTTTTTATTATTAATAATTGTTTTAATTAAATTTTCTCTAATTATAAACCTATAAAAGCAATAAAATGGTAATAATAAATCTTTTTGTAAAAAAAAGTGTTGAAAAAATTACGAAAAAATATCTAATCTTTTTTCAAACAAGATTTATTTAAAAAAATTTTGTAATTTTTCACCTGACGAAACGAGACACAAAAGAATCACTGATAACAAATATATATTTCTCTTTTGTTTTAGATTGTTTGGATAGGTCCTACATTGTTAACGGCAAATTATGATCATATGAAACATCTTGTGCGATATAACGTATAATTCTGGCAAATATTAATAAATTTAAAAAAAATTGTTATTAAATATGTACAAAATGTATATATATGCTCCTAAAATTTATTCGGAGTTACAATTTAAAAAAAAATCCTAAATTGTCTCCTTATTTCTGAATGCTCTAAATCAGAATCTCTGCTTAATTTGATGTCATTTTGATTTTATTATAATTTTGTGTTCTATCTAGATCTGAGATAAATATTTATAGAAATTGAATAGATGGAAAAAAAATTGATTTTTCTTTTTATCAAGAGGATTTGTACATATATACGTAAATACTATCTTCCCTAAAGAGAATGAATTTTAGCATTTATAATAATCTTGAGATAAACTTGTGTTGTCACATTTATTATCGAATAGTCTGCATCATTGGTAATTAACCCGCGGAAAATGTAGTGCAACGGTATTATTTCGTATTATCTGACCGCGGTTTCCATAGCGAATCGCCATGTTGGTACCGCAGGAAAACAGAAACCGGGTAGATTGAGATTAATCGATGCTAATTTGTTTGTCGAAAAAAAATAGAGTTCATACGATGAAGGAAGTGTATTTTATCGTTTTAGACACGTTTCACGATTTCACGAAAGACGATGTAACTTAATCGAAATAAAATAAGTGAATAGTGACGTGAAGAAAAAGAATTAAAGGGTCACGAAGATCAGTAAAAATTCTGAACAGACATGTTCGAACGTTTCCTTTTGTAATCGACATATGCGAAGATCAGAATGGTTTGTTGATTGGCCATCATTGTCGGCCGGCCATGAGGAATTTCACGGAGTTCTATGAAATGATAAAATCCATTCACTCCGGGGAGGACAGTGCCTACATGCGTCTATAAATCCTCACAGTCATTCGGCGCAACAACGAACAGCGTAATGGATCCAGACAGTCTTCGAGATAGCGGTGCTCTAAGACGCCGTAGATCATCGACAAGCAGGATTAACGTCATTGGGATTAGCAATAGTATAAGGTGCAAAGGTATATCCAGTTGGAAACGATGCAACGGAACGAATAACACGAAATTGAGAAGCTGATCGTATCGAATAGTAATAATGACGAAATTATCATTGAATACGATTAAACTGTTATTACTAATACCATGCAACCATTTCCAGATAATAACATAGAAAACAGTTTTTAGAATCATTTCAAATGTATTATTTATTGGGTTCCAAAGCCCATTCTACTTCAGACATCTGGAGTTCTAAGTCGACCATTACCCTCTCAAGTAAACTTCTTTTAAATAAAACCGGGCGCGCGCCATTCATCAATACTCGCCCACTGATAGACAAGTAATTTCAAACTTCCCATTAACCCCGCCATCGGGATATCCTCGATGTCCAAACACGGAGCAAGAGCCGCGTTCCGTAGTCATCTCCCGACGCCTGCTAGTCGAGAAGCTATAAATACTTGTGCATATGTTATGTGCGCTAGATACAGATCCCTCCGTTCTCCATTCTTTTGTACCATTTTCTACAATCGCCCGCTATCTTATCGGCCTTCGCGACAGCTTCTTTAGCATCCGGTGGATCACTGTAAACTGCTTCTCGATTTAGGCATCGGACTCGGACTACCATGCCGCTCGTGCGGCACTGTCAACGTTGCCATCTTGTCGAGATGTACTTCAACGGTGTCAATGGTTGGAATGAAGACAACTGTGGACTGGCAACGCCGCAAAATTTTCAACCAACACCCAGCACGTGGCTCTTCTCGTGCCCCGATCAAATTGAGCAAATCGGAATAATCAGTAAACGCAGCATCCCGCGTCGCTGCTGCCGATGAATGTAGATTTCGATGTATGCGTGCATGTGTGCGTACAGTCTGTGCGATTGTTTATCTGACTTGTTTATCAAAGACTATTAGCAGCTTTTGACTAGTGTTTCTGCAGATCATTTTGTATTAAACGATTAAACAATAAAATCGCGTCTAGCATAAACAGTGCAAGAATATACGAACATACAGTAGTTAAGAGACATACAGTATTTCACTAAATAAAATTTAAAAGATAGATGATTAATTTAAAATTGCGAATAAAATCGGCATATAAATGCAATTATTGCAGGTTGAATTTAAATGTTGCAACAAGTTTATATCGTTGAGTGTATTCAGTTAAAATTATTATCTTTGTGATAAAACTTATCGCGCGGTTCGTCTTGGTTGTTTAATTTTGCAATCAGCTGAGTTTATGGAACGGAAAGTATTTTGGCGTCGAATTATATTATCTGATGCAGGAATGCGCTATTTGTTTGATTACCAACCGAATTTGATGTAATTCTTCCTCGGCGCTCGTAACTGCTCAAGTGAACTTGACGTACTCGGAGTACTAGAGTCACTCAAGTTGAACGAAATATCAGCATCAAAAAGAGAGAGAAAGAAGAGAGAGAGAGAGAGAGAGAGAGAGAGAGAGAGAAAGAGAACAGAGAGGTTGAGATATACTACGTTCGTATTAACTCTAATAATTTAACAATAAATTATATTGAATAGTTTCGATTTAATCATAAAAGAATATTTAATCATAAATGTATTACAGATATGTTAACACAAATGTTAATTTGTATGTAAGATAATACGCGAAGAAAAAGGATTCTCTTACTTTCAAAATATTCTTGTACGCAAACTCTCTTGTGAATTATCTGCGAATGGAAACACGACCCTTCGCACGTTCAGCCAACGACTGTATATGACGCCAGATATGCAGTCTGACAATGAGTCGGAGAATTGATAAGAGAATAAGATTCATATCTGGAGACTACAATCTTGTTTACAAGAGCTAAATTTATTTCTTAAAATTAGCTTTCTTTAAGATAAATATAATATATGCAAAATATTGCAAATTTTTAAAGATAACCGATATTGAAAGATACTATAGCATTTTTAATTTGTTATAATTTATTTATTTATTTTGTTTACATTATTATAATAAATTTCTATTTTAATTTTTTGTATTAATTGATTTTTTATATTTGTTTTTTTATAATTATGTTTTGAATAAAAAAATGGTTGAAAAATGAGACTTAATAGATACTAGAAAGTCTATAATTATCTTAGTGAATCAATGGTTATTATTGAATAAAAGTGTAGGTGTTAGTATCAAGACTGAAATATTGCATGTTCTGGATACCAATCACGTGCTTCAAGATCGCGTGGAAATCACTTTGCTTCGAAAGCTAATAGTGGCGGAGGTCCACTGAGTTACGTGACTAATATCTTAATATATTCCGCGAAATATTTAGCCGGCGTGGCGCGGGAGCAGCCATGCGATGCGATGTTTGAATCTGAGATCTCTCCCGCCCAAGCGAAATAAGAACCTCAACTAAGAAATCTATAGATGCACGGTCGTAATAAATTTCTTGGTAATATCAAGATTTTAAAATAAAATCTAAAAGGAATTATCACAAAATTATTAAAAGTAAAAGATATAAAGAAAGAAAGTCACGATTCATTTCTATGTTATTAAAATTTAATAGGCTTAATAAATGTATTTATACCAATTACACAAAGTGAAGCAGGTAACTTGATACAATTGATATTAATATGTGAAGCTGCCATGATTTGTGCTTGTACAAATTATGTAAAGTTCTTTAATATAATAAAATTTGTTGAACTAAGTACGAACACAATGACAGACAAAAATGTTAAATTAATATCCCCTATTTAATCCATTAAAATCTAAAATTGATACAAATAGCGAAATAAGTTTTTATTCTATTTGATCTTTTTCAGCCGCAATAATATCAATTAAAAAATAATTGAATATCAAACCATAAAATAAATAAAAGTTCAGAACAATAAACATAAAAACAGAATATAAACAGAATAAAAATAAAATCGGTATATAAATTAATATTATTGTAAAACTATTATTGTTAATGTTTATTGTTAAAGGCATGGTCGGCAAGGAAAATCTCGGCCGACCGCAGCTCGGCAGCCACCTTTCGCCAAGGGAAAGTTAGCACGAAGGGAGCATAGGAGCCCCTCCGGTCAGATTAGGCCCCGTCGGGCCCCTCTCGCTCACGCTCCGCGCCGTCGAAGCCGTTCCTTCGTGCCGGTTTGTGCTGTCGGATCCGCCTTGCCTCGTGCATACACGCCATGGTCTCTCGCGTCGAATCGGGCCAGCTTCATCGTGGTACCCAGCTGGATCTGGACAGCTATTTGTCGGTCCCGTCGTCGACACTTGCGAAACGAAGCAGAGTCGAAGCGGTGCCTCGGCGCGGCGCGTTCTCGCGCGTCGTGTCATCGTCGTTGTCGTCGTCGTCGCCGTCATCGTGAACAACCGACCGAACCAAGCCGAGCGTGGACTCTTCGTGTATTTTCTGATGTAACCCCCTTCTCCCTGCATCCGTGAAACCGCATCGCGGCCGTCTTATATCGCTGCGATTACGCACACATGCTCGAGAGTCGCGCCGAGCGGTCCCAACATTCGCGATCCCGTAGATCGCCCGCGATCGCCTGCGACGCGTCCTCGCGCGCGCGTCGCGAGTCTGCCACCGGGACCGATCCACGCTGATCGAGATCGGAATCGATTTCGAGAGTGTGCCTTTTGTGCGCGGCCCTCATCTTCTTCTACGAAGAGAAGGACGGGAATCTGTGAAATCTGTGGGTTTTGTGAATATGGGGGATTCAGATACAGATAGCAAGTGTTCGATAAATTGCACAAAAAGTGAGTTTTATATCAGTAATTAGGAATCAAATTTTGTTGTAAATTTTACGTAGTATCGATTTTTCTCTTCTTTGTTGAAAGTTGACTATTATGCTAAATTTTAAAGTGGAGAAATTTCTTAAATTAAATTTTTTACACATTGAAAGCAGGAAATAAACGAGTGAGACAAATGTTGATTGATTGAAAATTTTTCAGTTCACTGACTTTGCGTGTTAAATGATTCCTCTTTTAGATGATTGTAAGAAAAAGACGTATGAGAGTCTATCGGCGGGAATGAAGTGAAGTGGAAGGTATCTGCGATTTGTATCGTGCGAAACCATTCTCGGTATCGCGGAACGAAAAGAGATTACTTCGATATGTGAATCATAATCGCAGTTAGTAATTTACGCGGAGCATCGTTTCTTTCTAACTTGGAGACACACGCAAAGTCCTCGCAAATTAAACTTCCAATACAGTTCAGATTGAATCGCCCTGCGAATTTAACGTTTCATTAAATTGCATCCATGAAGTAAAAAAATTATCGCGTTTATCGCGAACGTAATTCACGGATTCTTTCTCGATAGGTGCCGGACTCGTAGCAGCGCAATCAGATGATAAACCGGAAAGAAGCGGTCCAAGGCAAATAAAAAAGTTAAAATAATGTTAATTTAACATCATATTAACCAAATTTGTGTTATTTTTTTTGTCATGATTCGATTAATGTGATATTATTTTAACTTTCTCGTTCTCCTTGGGGGTCCAAAGGTAGAATCAGGAAGAAGTAAAGTATCTAGATTTGTAGAACGGTTGCGTTGTGTTGATGTGTGCCACGGATATACGTTGTGCCAGTGCGCGCAGTTGAGTAAGATCGACGCGGTGATTTGACTGGATCTCTCCTTCGTGATCGGGATCGAGATCACTGATTTTCCTGAGCGACCAACGCAAACGTCGCGGTGAGTGCGCGTGCACGCGGTGAACGCCGGAGTATCAACGAAAATCCGCGAGTCTCCAAGTGCTCGGTTGCTGACGATTACATTTCATCGGTGGATTTCTGATCATGGATGTGCGTGCTGTCACTCAACGATTACTGATTTTCTCAGGTGGAATTGCGCGCAGGGCACTGGCGAAAGTATTTTCGATCGTCTGCAGAAGTAAGTCTATTGTTAATCTACATTGAAAGAAAAAATTGGCTGTTGCACCAAACTAGATGCACAAATTAAAATATTACCGGATAACATTTTTAATTGGTTGCAGCAACTAATTTTTGATTGCATAGCCTATCCGCAATGAGAATATAGAGATTACGATAGACTAACGTAACCAAAATTAGCTCTTGCAACTAATTAAAAATGCTATGACATATTCAGTCAATCTTTCCTTTCAGTGTACAACTAGTAAAACCTTGCGTTGTGCCGGAATGTGTGAATGTCGGACACGAGATACGGTTCAAAGATCACGGAATGTGATAATCCTATAATTTTATGGATGTTACATGAGTTAGATTCTGAGAATTCGGAAAATAGCTGAGACTTTTACGTAGGATGAAACGTGAGAGATTAAGAGATGATGTGATCTTTGTATTCTAATAAAATCAACTATATTTGACTATTCTAATATCAAAATTGTAGATTTTTATAAATTCTGAGATGCCAATAGAATTAATTAAAATGCAAAAATCAAAGAATTTATCAATATGGAGAGAAATGTAAAGTAATATACGCTAGTAGAATTCTAGTAAATTTTATGAAAATGGCATGTCCATAGAAGGATAGGCGCTCACTTATGTAAAATTTATTTTACTTTTCGAGTAAATAAGCAATCGACGTATTCTAAAGTACTTTTTACATAGTACTTTTTATAAAGTAAATTTTGAGAATTGTTCGCGCTTGAGAATAATATAAGTTACTTTACTAAGGTAATAATCTTAAATGGATTTATAAATGTATTTTTTATTTTACATTTCTTTTATTCGGTATTTTTTACTTTGAGGCAACTAAAGTTTGTCATAAATTCAGCAAAAATAGCCGGAATATTTTTACTAAAGTTTTTTACTAAACTTATAAGATTATCCATTTTTCTTCTAAAGTAAAATTTTTACGTTTATACATTATGTTAATACATACGATCTGAATTTTTTTCTTAGATATATATTTTTAAAATCAAATTTAATGTAAAAATCAAATGTAAATGAGTATAATTTTGATCTTATATTCATATTAAATTCAATTTTTATCTTAAACAAATTTTGGAAATCTTTCCTTTTTCAGAATACATTTAGCATGAAATTTTCAAAGATAAAATATTCTTTAAGTTTTTGCTTTATACATTATAGCTATTTATACGTTTAGACTTAAAATATTTATACGTTTAGACTTAAAATAATACGAGTTTTAAGTGAGCGAAAGAATAATTATTAAACAATATTAAGTGAAAATTGGTAATTATTAAAATTTATTACTACAAACAATCAATAAAAATTCGCTTCTTCCTGTCGATGTTCTCTTGCTTTTGCATTGCAATGCGCGCTTTCTTAGCCCTGAAATCGAGCGCGGCGGGGCGCGACACGACGTTCGCCGGTGCGTCCTTGATTTTCGCTCGATTAGTATCCGCGCGCGGCGGATCGCCCGTTATTGAAGAAGGAAAAAGTATCGGACGTCGTTCCGGTTGGTCGTTTCGGTTCAACGGCCCTTGCTGAAACGGCTTGAACCAGAGGCGACTGCACGCGTTCGTCCAAGCTCGAGCGCGTGCGATGCACAATACCGATTCTTTCCACGTTGCGACGAGTGGAGCAGCGCGGCTTCCGGGATTGTCTGGGATCATCGGTGAACTTTCACCGATTGACAAAAAATCGCGATGTTTTCTGCTCGAACAACGTTACGAGACGAGCGAATGTTATATTCATAAATGCCGACGCGACCCTCTCCCATTGTCTTCATATCCACGATCTATGATATTTTTCTCTTCTCTTCCTCTGATTCCAGGAATGAATTTTTATTTATTAACTAATTACACTTACCAAAGGTTATTGCTATTTCCGCATCGATATTTTTTTCGTATATTTTCATTTGCTTCAATTGTTTTTAATAAGATTCCGAATAAATTAATGATATATTTAATTATATCTAATTTCACACATACACACACAATCGCTGTACAATACCAAGTTAATTCAGAAATATATTTGCAGAATTTTTAGTGCTTGCTTAAAAAAGAGCAAATGTTTAGTGAACATTTGCTCTTTTTTTATTATCAAAGTCTATAATGCTATGAAGTGTGAAGTGCGAATCGTTTCAAGAAACGAGAGAGCAAACAAGAAGAAATTCCATTGCCTTCTTACAGTTGATTATACAAATGGCGCAAATTTTATTTTTTTACTAAGTTTATTGTATCCGTAGTTACGTAAGCGTCTAAGGAATTTCGCGCACAAACGCAGTAATCAGGTTCAACACCTGATATCCACACTTGTATTAAAACAGCTGCGAACATGTACAACTCAGATTTCCTTCATTGCAATTCTCGTCTTTCTAATCAGAAACAATCGTAAATCTTGTGTTTTATTACGGCAATTATACAACAAACTTTTATTATTAATACCGGCAACTAAATGTCAAAATA